GTGGCCCTAAGTTTAATAAAACAAACAAACATCTAAATTGTGTTCTAAGAACTCGAAACCCTGGGAAAATGCACCAGGTGAGCCCATCTACTATGTAACCAAGATGCCACCATAGAAAAGTTCCTCGCCCTCTCAGTCATTGTTCCCCTCTTTTTTGTAAAACCCAGAGAAATGCCGGAGCAGATAGATATGTAAGGACACTGTTCTTCTGGTAACCTGGGCCCAAGCCATTAGGAGAGATTCCTATGGGCATTTTTATTAGGGATAAAGGAGTTATATTGTTATGGGCACTATTTATACAGCTTGAAAAGGCTATTATTTCTGGACTAAAATTCACATTCTGGAATAAAACCCACATTCAGCATGGCTACTGGTCCAGGTGCTTCAAAAAAGGAAAATTTCTAAGCTCTGCATTCTGATGGATCACATAATAGTGGATCCAATGGAGCAGGAGTGAAAACTGGGGGAAGAAGCATCAATAATTTAGAAATGCAGAAAATAGCATTGACTTGAAACAACTGCTGAGGAAAGTTAAAAGGGAAAGTAGAATAGTAGGATTAGACCTGATCACTAAGAACATAAAAACAATAACGAAAGAATTAGATAATTTTGATGTTGATCATGAAGAAATGGAAATAGTTCAAGATTTCTGGTATCATGGTTCAATAATCAATCCAAATGGAGATTGCAGGCAAGATATTAGAAGACTGCTGAGACCTGGAAGGGCAGCCATGAAAGAACCTAGATCTTTAAGTGTAACTATACTGTATCTTGCTAGAGGGTTTCCTAAGTATAGAATACCTGGAAATGGTTTATCATCCCCTTCTTCTGAAGGTGCCTTAGGACTCAGCAGCTTGCCCAAGGCTATACAGGCTGCCTGTTCTCCAGGGAAGAGAGAATAGAACTACCCATCATCATCTAATTCACTGATCTGTCTAGCCAACCAATACAAAACATGTCAATTAATTTACTGTATTTTTCTGTGTATAAGACGCCCCCACGTACAAGACACCCCCCACTTTTCTAACCCCAATTTCCTTTCTTTACAAGTGTGAGGAAGGAGCAGCTAGTGTGCCATCCTCTGAGATGTCCATCGCTGTGGAAGAACATGGCTGTATAGAGGGAGTGTTGGTGGAAATAGATCAAGAGGGGATAGAGAGGAAAGCGGTGTTGGAGGTGCGTCTAGCCGATGGCAAAGGGAAGGAACTGGACCTAATTGTGTGGGAGGAGGTGTTAAAAGAGGGGGAAAGCGCACACGTTTTTAAGGTAACAGATGAGCCGAAAGGAGGGAGGAGGGATCAGGCAGTCCAGACAGAGGGAGAAGGTGAACGGAAAAATGTATTCAGACTGTTGAAAGAATTCCCTAACCTACGCACAGGGGGAGGTCTGCTGCCTGATCCAGAAGTGAAAGGCGTAGCACAGGACAACCTCGAACCACTGGAATGGACGGTGGTCGTTTATCCTTGCAACCAGCGTGGGGGGGCGGAAGGAGATTCGTCCCAATCCCTCTTTATTCCGGCAACAACACGAGGGGGTTTGGGTGAGACACCCCTGCTGCGGCACGGTGTGTGCAGTGTGAAGCACTCGCGAGGGGGATTGGGTGAGACACCCCTGCTGCGGCATGGTGTGTGCAGTGTGAAGCACTCCTCTGAGGCCCATGACGGACAGGGAGCGGTTTGGGCCAGCCCCGATGTGAGAAGTGACTGGACAACTCCCGATGTTAGAGTGAGAAGTTACAAGGTTTTGCCTGAATTAAGTTTAATTGATCCATTTGACGCGGTAGAGTTAGAGGTGTTGAAGAATAAAGGAGATCTTGTTGAAAATTCAAAACAGCCTCCGTCTCTCTTTCCTGCGCAGACTTGGGGATCATCCATGGAAAGAGATGAACCGGATCACAGCAAGAAAGTGGAGGGGGAAAGCAGGAATCACCAAAGTGCTTTGATTCCTGCTTTCCCCCTCCACTTTCTTGTGAGGAAAGTAATTTTCCCCTCCATTTTCTTCACAAAAAGTGGAAGGGGAAAGCAGGGATCAAAGCTCCTTACTTCTGAGTATAAGACGACTCTCAATTTTTTATCTAAAAATTTTAGACAAAAGTATCGTCTTATACACGGAAAACATGGTACATCAGCCAATATTTTGAGAACAGCCAACTGACAAAGGTCAATATGATGATTACCTCTGGTGTGTTATATTTGAGCTGGAAAGACCTGGGATTGCACAAAAATGGAGGAAAGAAACAGCATTAAGACCACGAGTTCAAGATTTTCTTGGAGGTTATTTTCCTATGAGTAGAGACCATTTATCTTGAAGTCAACAAACTAGTCCTTGCAGTTCTCATTTCTGCCAGATGCAGCCCCCTCTTTAGAGTCAGCTAGTTAGATAGCTCAGTGAGATGGAGTTCAGGAGCCAGAGGTCAAGAATCTGGTTTCTCATTGTGCCTCCTGGGAGAGGCTGTGTAGCCTTGGGCAGGCTGCAAAGGCCCAAGACACCCCCAGAAGAAGGGAACGGCAAACTATTGCTGAGTACCACATACTTAGAAAACCCTGGAAAAAGTTGCTGTAAGTTGGAAGCAGCTTGATGTTAAGTAATTATTAATTAATTATACAGTGCCTCATAATTGCCTATTTAAAGCTAAGCTCCAAAAATACTTTGCTAATATTTTCACAGGAGTAGGTCACAACACTGAGAGCCAGTATGCTGTGTAGCAGATATGAGTGTCAAACTAGGGAGACCTAGGCTTGAATCCCTGCTTAGCCATGGAAAAACACCAGCAGATGAGATTTATCAAACCACATTACAGTATTCTCACATATCTTGAAAGCTGTGGCGCCAGAGGTTGGGAGTTCGGTTCCCCACTGGGCCTCCTGCAACTAGCACAAGTTGCAGGAATGGTAGAATATACCAGATGGGTGGGATATAAATCGAATACATAAATAAAAAATTGATATAAATATTTGATATAAAATTATATCGAATATAAAATATTCGATATAAATTGAATAAATAAATACATAAATAAACTGGGTACCCCCAGAAAAAAGGGAACGGTGAACCTCTTCTGAATATTCTCTCCCTGGGAAACTCTTGACAAGGGTTGTTGTGAGTCGGAATTGATTTGACAGCACAAAATCATCCTCACCCTTACAGCTATTGTTCCCTTTACTGCTGTGCGGGCAAGCAGACTGATGGGATGTTTTGGCTGGTAAATGAGAGGCGAAAGTGGGAAAAATGAGTTACTTTCCCAGTATCCTTACATTTTCAGATCTCTGAAGCCGACTCATTTCTCCTCACAGCTTATTCTGAAGCAGAGTTGGCAACTTTGTGTTTCTTTTTCCGACTACAACTCCCAGCATCCACCGCGGCAGCGGCCTTAACTATTGAAGATTTTTCTCGGAATGACCATCCCAAAAAAACAAAAAAAACCCACAGCCATTTCGCCAGGCTCTCTGGGCTGTCAGCGACGGGTGTGCGGAGAGCCTTGCTTTCCCCTCCTCAGGGGCTCCGGGTGCAGCAGAGCCGCTCGCCCTGGCCTGTTCCCCGAGGCGAGGCCGGGCCGGGCCACGATCCTGGCTCCCTTCCAAAGCCGGCACGAGGTAGGTCGGGCTTGACTGGCTGGCTGGCTGGCCGGCTTGCCCGCGCGCGCCTCGAGCCCCCTTTCTGCTCCAGGAAGGAAGAGGCTGCTTTTCTTAGTCCCTGGGTTGGAATTTCGAATTGGTGGGAATGCAATCTTCCTGCCCCTCCCCCTCCTCCCACCCTCCGGGAGTCGGGCAGGTCCTAGAACCCCTCTCTTTTCACCAGGGCACCCTTGCACAACTTACAAGGGAGTAAACGCCCCAGAAAGACTCGGGGAGGGCATCGATCCGACAGTTTCTCAAGTATTGGGCCCTGTTGTAAACAACGCCTAGATGGTTAGTTTTACTTTCTCGTGCTCAACCCGCACTTTCCGCCTTCGTTTTCTGATCTCTCCCCCTCCCCGCATTTATCCCCCGAACATTCCCATGTTCCTCCCTCTAAAGGAGGGCTCTTTCCCTTTAAGAGCTGCGCCTCCGGGGTGACGTCGCCACGAACGCAGAGCTTTTGGAATGTATGCAAATGAGTCCTTATCCCTCCGGCCAACGAGAAGCCGAGGTTTTCCGTCTTCAGCCAATGGCGTGAAAGCGGTGCTAGGGGGCGGCCAATAGATGCAAAGCGCCGGCTCGCACCATATAAGG